GATATCTGCCTAAAATAAAAACTTTAATATTTTAGTCAAAGCCATTGCAAACTACATAGTATTTTTTGATTTAGCATTTTGCCCATTTTGCATCCTTTTGAGTTTGTCGAAATTATTTTCGTCAATATTTTGCATGGATGATATTCAGCCGAACAGAAAAGCCACTAGCAGGCTACTCAAACTAAATTTTACTTTCGGATGAAGTGATTTGGCAAAACTACATTTTTCCATTAACTAGACTTGCATTTTTCCAAGTCTAGTTAATGAACAAAAAGGATAAGGCTATCATATAACAGAAACCTTAAATGAGAATGTCATGGTGACTAATAGGAAATGTTATGCATCATGGCACAATTTTCCAAAAAAGATTGGTTCGATCAAAATGACCTATGTATTATTTTGTGGTTTAAAAATAATTTATTTAAACAGATATTGTTTCTATTTTTTCCTCACCCTCATCAGCACTGACAATGCAAGTATGGCTACAAATTAATTATTACTTTTCAAACTATTTTTATTGATCAGTATTTTAAAAACCATATTTCACATTAATTTGGTATAAAAAGAAATATTTAACATGTCAACATTTAACAATATAAACAAGTAGAAATAAGAAGGGAAGGCGAAAAATATAATGATAAAAAATATATATATTTTTTTTTAAAAAGGGCGTGGACAGATACTATCCAAATGCATAATAATAAAATAGTGGATTTGTTCCTGTCAAAATATAATACGGAGAGTAATATAACCAATTGTATGTCTAAATATATTATATATCAGTATGCAACAGGGCTTGTGGAATTGTCTACAGGAGAAACTCCTTACTTATATATTTTGCAAATATATTTTTTGAGGTGAGGGTTGCCGCAACGCTAGTTCATATCTCTTGTTATCGAGCACTAAAATCAGTGCTTCCTTAAGTGATGTTATTGACTTCCAATAACAAGGTATGATTGACGTGGCTGCAATAAGAATGTGGCCTACCATGATTCTTTCTAATTTACTTCATGTTTTAGGGAGATTTTTGAAAAAACCCACCTCTGGAGGGAATGTTATAATTGACGGATCTATCTTTTTAATCAGTGAATGCATTCCCTGCCAGAAAAGTTGCAATTTTGCACAGTGCCACCATATATGTGAAATAGTACCATGGCCTGCACAACCCCTTCAACACCTATCTACCTAGATTTTGTGTTCATTTTATGAAGTTTTGAAGGGGCCAGGTGCCACCGGTATATAATTCTGTAGTGATTTTCTATATGGTTGGAACACTGTGTAATCCCTTTGAGAGATGAAGTGAATGCAATCCATTCCTCTAGGTCCCAATTGCAGACCCAAATCTTTCCCCCAGGCTAGAATATAATCTAGTTTTGTATCTTGAACTGAAAAAAAAATAAGAATAACATATTTTTTTAAAATTTGTGGTCAGGATTGGGGATGTCAAATTGCTCTTGTAGGATCACAGTAATTGCGGAGTACCGAGGGGGTCCCAACATTTCAAATCGTATTTAATTAAAAAAAATTCAAAAGACATTAGCGAATCATTGTTGAAAAAAACTATCAATATTGTTTATGAATTTGCAGCACCAATTGTGGATAATAATGATTTAAGATAGAAAGCGGCATAGCTCTTGACCAAGACAAGTTGGGTTGAATAGTAATTAATTATTACTATACATAAACATTTAAAAACATGGGGCTCTAAATTCCCATGCATATGGACCCAACAAACAATTCTCTTATGTTTAATGGGATAGGTGTTCATAGGCTTTACAGTTACTAAAACTGGGACCTATGTCACCCTCGTTTCCTCTGCTCTAAAAAATTTGGAAATAAAAAATCTGAATATCCCATATTTGGGGAAAAACAAACTCCCAGATGCTGCCACATTGATAGGATTATTGGTTGCTAAAATTTTGAATATGTTAAAGGGATTTGATAAAAACATTTCCTTTTGCAAATAATTTATATTTCCTTGCTATAGGTCCTTTCCTTTCATTATAAATTATCAAACTGAGCTCATCAAGCAATGTCTCACATGGATTTTTGAATGTTTTTTTACATGTTTTAGCTGATTATCCCAAGAAAACCACAATATTTTTTATTTATCTATATTATTGACTTTTTGGCATTGTAGAGTGCTCCTTGTGTTTGCTTTTTACTAAATTGAGGCCCTATAGCTGAGTATTAAGTATTGTTATTGTATGCTGTTACTGTTTGTGCTCCTCTGAATGGTGGCTTTGGGACCATACTTCCGTTAAAACCTTTAAAATTTCAGTCCTCTGTGTATTTGGTGTTTAAATGTTTTAATGATTATACCACTTTAAGATCATTAGGTGATGTCCTGATTACTTTTCCCCTGCGAGCACATTGTCAACAAGTCATTGATTATCTCACCTCATTCTGTCTGTCAATAATATGCTGTAAAAAAATATTTTATTAATGTGGATGTGTGGGCTGCCACTTTTGCTTTATTTATTTTTTTATTTTTTTGGTGATTTATATATTTTTGGGGGGTACCCCTTCTGTAATGAAAGCAAGGATAATCCTTATTTGTAGCCTAATTATAGCATGTTGGTGCTAGTCCTGGTAAATCAGTTTGGACAAGAGTTAGAAGACTTTTAGCATTAAAGTATATTTGGTCTTCACTTATTATATGTCTTAGACCATTATATGTGCAATACTTTAATGCTCAAAGAAATAAAACAAATACTACATTGTAGTATTTGTTTAATTTTTGTGAGCATTATAGTATATTTGGTTCTCACTTATTATATAAACGTTAAACCATTTATAACACTAATTATGCTTTTTAATAGTTTTTAACTATTTTTTTTGTTCATAGCTAGAGTTCGGGTTCGTGCCGAACATTAGGTTTTTTGGACCCCGGACCCGAACACGGACATATCACTGTATGTTCGGGTTGGAGTACGGTGTTCGGCGATTTAATGGCGTGATTTCAAAGGCTGCAGGGCAGCCAATCAACAAGCGTTTGACTCGTGTGCCCTACTAATGGCATGGCTGTGATTGGCCAGTGCAGCATGTGACCCAGCCTCTATATATAAGCTGTAGTCGCGTAGCGACGCACGCACATGCGGTCTTATTAGTGAAGGGAGAGGATGCTGCCACTGATAGGAACAGCTAAGGAAAGAGTTCTGCAAACTAGTAAGTTAGTGGGGTGTGGTGCACGTCATATCTGAGAGTCAAATAGAAGCTTCAAATACAGCGGCTACATCAGAGTTTTAAAAAGTAATTTTTTTCTGGTGCTAAATAGTACATTAGTGGGGTGCACTTCATATCTGAGAGTCAAATAGAAGCGTCAAATACTGCTGTCACATTGCAGTTTTAAAACTTAAAATTATTTGGGTCCTAGACTGCTAAATAGTATTTTAGTGGGGTGCACTTCATATCTGAGAGTCAAATAGAAGCGTCTAATAGTGTGCTTACAGCGCAGTGGTAAACATTCTTATTTTCTGGGTGCTAATCTGCTAAATAGTACATTTTGGGGCGTGCACTTCATATCTGAGAGTTAAATAGAAGCGTCTAATAGTGCACTTACAGGGCAGTGGTAAACATTCTAATTTTCTGGGTGCTAATCTGCTAAATAGTACATTTTGTGGCCTGCTCTTCATATCTGAGAGTCAAATAGAATTGTCTAATAGTGTGCTTACTGCGCAGTTGTAAACATTCTAATTGTTTTGCTGCTAATCTGCTGCTTACATTGGAGTTTTAAAAAGTAAATTAATTTTTTTTTTTGGTGCTAAATAGTATTTTTGGGGTGTTCACTTCATTTCTGAGTCAAATCGAAGCGTAACTTTGATTAGCATTTACTACATCGGTCACTTGTAATATTGTTTCACACCTACAACACTAGTTACACAGATCTAAGTGATAGAAAACAGAATGATATTTTCTACACTAGAAACTACCAGATAACAAGCTGCTATATTCAAACCAGTGATCAATAGCTAAGAGGTACTTCAACAATATTGTAATTCAGTCAATCTGCGTGGTCAGTTTATAGGGAAAACTGTTGCCTGGAAACAATTCTAAAACAATTTCAATATGTCCTTTGCAGACTTTACATGCTGGATAAACATAGGTGCCAACTGCTGTGGCTTTCTGCAGTGTGCATAACGGCAAGGAGGGCAGGGTTGAGGAGTGGGTGGAAGATGATGTGGAGGATGATGAGGTCCTAGACCCTACATGGAATCAAGGTCATGCGAGTGACGTGTGCAGTTTGGAGGAAGAGGCGCTGGTCGCACAGAGGCACCAGCACAGCATAAGAGGGAGCAGGGTGCAAAAGCGGAGCGGCCGTCCCCTAGCGCTCGTCGGCATGTATTAGCTCGAGAATTACCAGTTATCCAAGTAATACATGTAGTGTTCAAAGGATCCATAATAGAGTTGAGCAAATCCGAACTGCAAAATTCAGGTTCGTACCAGATATAACAATCCATTCGTAGTTTCACAGTCAGGTGGACAGTCCGGTGACCAGGACCCAGACACTGTCTGGGCGGCGGTCGGACAACCGCGACCCAGTATGCCTGATGTTGAAGTTAGAGTCACAGTGTGGAATGGATTAGCAGGGTCTGGTGCAGGGTAACCGCATGCCCCCTGGTGTAGAGCACCAGCGTTTGTGCGGCCACATACCAGGACCCTGATGCAAATTCAGTAAAAAAGAGTACTGGATACCAGAAGCCATCACCAGACTGATCCGCAACTTGGAACAGGATGTGACATTCACTGTAGCGGCTGTGCGTGCTTTTGGCACCCTGCTGCTGCTCGCCAGTCGGCGCTGCAGCGTAACTTCGGCCTTCACCGCTCACCGCCTCATGAGACTGTGCGAGCAGCAGCAGGCGATAGTGGAGTTTCAGCTGCAGCACGCACGGGTCAGTGGCTCTGCACCAGACTTCCCTCCAATTGATCAGAGTTAAAGGATTTCAAGTGGACTCATTACAATTACAGGGCCTCTAAAGAGTCCTGTATTGTTATTTGTCATCACTACCTTCCCGCGTCGGGAGTGGGTCATTTGCGCGCCTGCTGCCTTCCTTGCATGTGGTAGCCGTTTCTCAGGGTCCCTGTACGGAATGGAACCCTGATTCCCCGTTACCCGTGGTCACCATGGTAGTCTCAGAAACTGGCATCGAAAGTTGATATGGATGACATCCGCATGCACAAGGATGTGCGATTTGCCCGAGGTTCTCTAGGGTCAACAAAGTTCCTGCGCAACTATAATGTCAATAGCTACTCTGCGGAACAGAGTTGTCTTTTTTTATATGTCCCAATATTTTGGGGGCTACCCCAATTAAAATATATATATATATATATATATATATATATATATATATATATATATATATATATATATACACGTATATATATATATATATATATACAGTGTTAGCTACCTCCTCCTCCACCGCCACGGTCACCGCCTCCTCAACCTATGGGTCACTTATAAACTATAGAAAAAAAGAGACGAAAAATGGGGCAGACAGTCCACTCACAAAAAAGTGGGTGGAATGCCTAGCCTCATTCAAAGTACCTCATAATGTAAATAGTCACATAGAAGAGGATAAACAACCTTTATTAGAAAAAAAAAATATGCTAAAATGGTATATAGTCCAAATACTATCACCATACACTAAAATAAAAAAAATTTAAAAAAATAACTATCCTAAGAGAAACAGCAAAACTAACTGCTGCTTCGTGGCAGCCTATCCAAATCCCTAAGTCTGTATCAGGAGAAAATATAGGCGCAAACTCATGCGCTGTGGAAACCCAGGAAAATGAAAGATGAGAGTAAAGAAAATCAATTGAGTATAATAGCAACGGCTAAGTTAACCACCAAACTTATAAAAGCCTGGGAGAGGCTAATCCTGCAAGGTATGTTTGACTTAATAAAGGTGTAAAAATACACCTAAAATAATAAATGGGTAACAAAGCAGGTTAGTCTAAATCCATTCTAGGAAAGGACCCAACTGGGTAATTGGATAGAAAAAGGATAGTCTTAGAGCAGTGTCTGAGAGAATCTGGAAAGGGCAGGGTTAATAGCAACTAATGGGGTGCACCCAAACTAATATCAAGTAGCTTATATTAAACAGAAAAGGAGCTAATACCCCACAAAGAGAGGAAAGATAGAACCCCCCCCCCCTCCTCTGAGTCACCCTAAAAAACTAACTATCCTAAAAGAAACGGCAAAACTAACTGCTGCTTCATGGCAGCCTATCCAAATCCCTAAGTCTGTATCAGGAGAAAATATAGGCGCAAACACATGCGCTGTGGAAACCCAGGTAAATGAAAGATGAGAGTAAAGAAAATCAATTGAGTATAATAGCATCGGCTAGAAAATATCTCGACGCGCGTTTCAGCGTTTTAGATACACCTTTTTCAAGAGCTCACAAAGCATTTTTTTTTCCTAATAAAGGTTGTTTATCCTCTTCTATGTGACTATTTACATTATGAGGTACTTTGAATGAGGCTAGGCATTCCACCCACTTTTTTGTGAGTGGACTGTCTGCCCCATTTTTCGTCTCTTTTTTTCTATATATATTGTGGGGTTATGCCCCTTGTACCTCTGTAACCTTTTTGTGGGGTAGTGGTGGTGGTTTCCCCACCCCATAGCCCCTCTCTCTTTCTTCCACTTATAAACTATGTACACAATAGCAGAGGCTTGTGAAGGCTTTTTCTCCATGCATCAGGAGTTGAGCATTTCTCCATGCATCAGGACTGCAAGAAATGCAAATGTTTCTTTTGTTGTATGTCCCAATATTTTGCGGGCTACCACAATTAAAAAAACCCCATAAAAAACAGTGTTGGCTACCTCATCCTCCTCCTCCGCTGCTTCCTCCTCCACGGCCACGGTCACCGCCTCCTCAACCTATGGGTTACTTAGTATAAACTAGGTACACAATTGCAGAGGCTTGTGAAGGCCTTTTCTCCATGCATCAGGACTGCAAGAAATGCTCCGCAGGCCGCAAATGTTTTTTTTTTGTATGTCCCAATATTTTGTGGGCTGTCACAATTTAAAAAAAAACAAAAAAACAGTGTTGGCTAGCTCATCCTCCTCCTCCACCGCTGCTTCCACCTACACTGCCACGGTCACCGCCTCCTCAACCTATGGGTCACTTAGTATAAACTATGTACACAATAGCAGAGGCTTTTGAAGGCCTTTTCTCCATGCATCAGGAGTTGAGCTCAGTTTGAACAATGAAAAAGAATACCCTGCACTCCAACCCTCTCTCAAATGGATAATTCTGGTGATCCTCCTGACAGCCATGCTTTAGATTTTGATTTATGTTCTTCCAAAGCTAAAATCAAAGATTCCATCTAGTGCTATTTTATGGCTCAGCTGTATATTTAATTTTTATGTTATTTTAAGTGATTTCCCTATCCACATTTGTTTGCAGGGCACTTACCCTACTCTTACCCCCATTTTACTTGCTTTTGCAGCTCTCTAGCTCTTTCCAGGAGTTTTTTAGAGGCATTTTTGTGGCCAAAAGCTCGGGTCCCTGTTGACTTCAAACCCGAACATCCAGGTGTCTGCTCAACTCTATTCCTGGCACATCCAACAACTTTTTTTTTTTTTACAACATTTCCAAACCATATCCCTGGTGGGGTTTATACCATCCATATGCAGATATTTGAGAAATATATTGCTCTATCAAATGTGAGTAAAATACATTATTAATTTGTTTTTATATAAATTGTACTTACAGTGAGCACTGTTGTATATCTCTTTGTTTTTACATAACCATCTGTACGCTTACATACTGACCTTCAGATTTTCATATCCATCAGTGGGGATTGTACCACTGCAAGCAATTTTGCTTGTTTAAGCTCTACAAAATGTGAGTTCAATTCTATTCATTATTATTGAGAGTTGCATCTTCCTGGTTAAAAAGTCTGCACTATTATCTTTCAATTTGTATCTGTTTAGATATGTTGACAAGCACCTTAATCAAGAACTGATACCTATCAAGAATTTAAAAGCAGCCGGGATTGTAATCATTGCACTGTGAGTATTGGACTTTATGCGTTTTATACATTTATTTATTATTTATTCCATATAAAACACTTGAGGGACTGCAAAAGACCCGCATCAAGATGTGGTGGAACCAGGTACTGAGCAGGAGGTATCCATGCCATAACTCCAAAATGTACACAACTAATGACCCAGAAGCACAAGAAATGTCATCTCCAATATGCTCAAAATCATATGAATAAGCCATAGAAGTTTTGGGATCCTGTTATGTCGAGCAATGGAACAAAACTGGAACCAATGGATCTATGAATATATGTCTGGAGGAAGAAGATTGAAGCATACACTGAAAAGAACACTCTGCCTACAGTTTAGCATGGTGGTAGCTTGGTGATACTGTAGGGTTGCTTTGCATCCTCTGGCAATGGAAAAGTACAGTGTTTTAGAAGGCAAGATGCATTCATTGAAGTATCTTGAAATCCTCTGACTATTTTATTATTATTATTATTATTGCCATTTATATAGCGCCAACAGATTCCGTAGCGCTTTACAATATTATGAGAGAGGGGGTTTAACTATAAATAGGACAATTACAAAAAACTTACAGGAACGCTAGGTTGGAGAGGACCCTGCTCAAACCAGCTAACATTCTATAGGAGGTGGGGTGTAAAACACAATAGACAGGAAATATCTGTCAAATAGGGTGGGAGTAGAGCAGAGCTGGTGGAGAGAGTAGATTGCTGCCCTTTAGGAGAGCGCAAGAGACAGGTATGTGAGGTAGAGTCTGGGAGGCCAAAAGCTTTCCTAAAGAGATGGGTTTTAAGGCACGTCTTCAAAGATGCAGGACTAGGGGAGAGTCTGATGGCAGTAGGCAGGCTATTCCATAGGAAGGGAGCCGCCCGCGAGAAGTCCTGCAAGCGTGAGTTGGCTGTACGGGTGCGAACAACGGACAGGAGATGGTCACAGGCAGAGCGTAGAAACCGAGAAGGGACATACCTATGGATCTGTGAAGAGATATAAGAGGGGCTAGAGTTGTACAGTGCTGAATTAGTACCTTGAATTGACTCCTATAGCACACAGGAAGCCAATGTAAGACCTGACAGAGGGGTGAGGTGTGAGAGAACCGACTAGAGAGAAACATCAGTCTGGCAGCAGCGTTCATTATCGACTGTAGCAGTGCAGTACGGCTTTCGGAAGACCAATCAGGAAACGGTTACAATAATCCATGCAGGAAATTACTAGAGCATGGACAAGCTCCTTGGTAGTATCTTGTGTAAGAAAGGAGCGGATGTGGGCTATGTTTTTAAGATGGAATTTACAGGATTTGGCACCATACTGGATGTGAGGCTCAAAGGTGAGGTCAGAATCAAGTATGACACCAAGACAGCGTGCTTGCATGGATGGACTTATGTGCGTACCACTAACTTGAAGGGAGAGCGAAAGAGGAGGATCAATATTAGAAGGAGGAAAGACAAGGAGCTAAACATCATGCCATCTGTAAGGAAGCTGAATCTTGGGCTTCATTGGACCTTCCAACAAGACAATGATCCCTACAATCCATGTGTACTGGATACAGTACAGAAGGGTCCTAGTGACCCGGCTGACTGTGCGTCTCCAATGCAGTGTTGCCCTGCAGAGATCCTGCAGAAAATTGAGTTGTGATTCTTCGAATGGAAACAGCATTTGTTCTTGCCTGTTTATCTTGGAGGGACTGAAATCGAAGGAGAACATTGTGGGGTGTACCTGCCGAAGCCATGGGAGAATTGGGGAGCCTGTGTGATTCTTCCACTTGTATGGTCTTCGTCTGCCTGGGATGCAGAATCCCCGAAAGAAGGCGCCAGATGAAGTGGGGTAGCTCTCTGTCATTAACCGTTTCAGCAATACCTCTGATTTTTATGTTGGTGCATCTCCTGGCATCCTCCATTGCATCCATTCTGGCCTGTAGAGCCTGGTGAGAGCTCTGGAGTTGCTGTATTTTTTGTGCCTGACTGGCGTTGTGCTATGGTGGAGATGTCCTCTTCTGTGGCCTTCACCCTGTCCGTGATGGCTGTAACTTCTTTACGGAGCGCCGCTATATTTGTGCGGAAAAATGTGTGCAGGTGTTTCAGTAGGCTCAGAATGTCTCCTTTTGTTGCAGAAACCCCCGGGTCTCCTAATTGTATAGCCGAGAATGGGTCATCCGCCTCTAGTATAGCGCCTTTGGAGTCCAGTGGGTCCTCCTCCGAGGATAGGCCAGGAAAAATATTCACAGAAATATACGGAAAAATGATGCGTTTACAACCATTTGGTTCACAGATCAAGTGAAAAAG